TTGATAGCATTAATGGAGGATGGTAGGAACTAGGGTATAGGAAGAAGTAAGGTCACTGTAAGTGTCCCTTTGAAGGGTATTTCTTTTCTCTAGTTCCTTCCTCAAACCTTTACTGCCTTCTGCTTACCCCAAGATGAGGCACTTTGTGGTGTTCTCTGTCCTGATGCTTCAGCCTCACTTAATGTCCACAACTGACTGACCATGGTTCAAAACCTTGGAGACTATGAGCCAAAATAAATCCTTCCTTTTAAATTGTTTCTCTTAGATATTTGTTACAGCAATGAGAAAGGGGACATAGGTCCCTCCCTCCCTCCCTCCCTCCCTCCCTTCATCTATCTGTCTATCTATCTATCATCCATCCATCTTCTATATCTATCTCTCTCTCTACCATCCATCTATCCATCTATCTATCTATCTTCCTTCTATCTTGTTACAGGGTTTTGTGCATGCTTAGGCAAGTGCTCCACCACTGAGCTACACTCAATATTTTAAATTACTGACTGAACCTTTTTGCTTGTTAGAAATATAGAGTTTCTTTTTCTTCGTGACTCAGGTTGGTGGTCTTTTTGATACTTTGCATTTCTGTGATATCAGTTGCAGTGTCTCCTTTGTTAATTTTGCTTGAGTCTCCCTTTTGTTCTTAGTCTAGCAAGATATTTTTCAGTTTTGTTTGAAAGTACCATCTTAAGATTTACTGTTCTTTCCTGTTTTCTAGACTTTGTGTCATTGATTTCTAATCTGGTTTTTATTATTTCCTTTCTTTTGAAAACTTTGAGTTTAGTTTGGTCTTTTTCTAGTCCTTGAGTTATAAAGTTAGGTTATTTGTGGTTCCTTTTTTCTTAAAAATATATTTCTAATTATGTGTATATGTGTGTGCCTTTGTGTTGGTCTGTGCATGGGAGTATAGTGCCCTATGAGGCCAGAAGAGGGAGTCAGATCTCCCGGAGCTAAAGTTATAGGTAGTTGTGAGCCATTCAGTGTAGGTGTTGGGAAGTCTAGAGAACTCTGGTCTTCTGGAAAAGGAGGGCACACTCTTAACTGCTGAGCCATCTCTTGAGTCCCACTTTCTTTCTTTTTTTAAATTATTTTTATTTTATGTGTATGAGTGTATTGCCTGCATATATGTAAGAGCACTCGTGTCGTGCAATGCCCCATGGAGGTCAGAAGAGTGTGTCAGATCCCCTGGAACTGGAGGTTAAGGATGTTTTTTTTTAGCTGCCATGTGGGTGCTGGGAACCAAACCTAGGTCCTCTGCAAGAGCAGCCAGTGTTCTCTGTCTCTCCAGCCCCTTTGTTTTTTTTTTTGGGGGGGGGTTGTTTTTAATGTAGGCATTTATTATTATAAGATTTTCTTTTAGAGCTGCTTCTGCCACATCTCATGTGCTTTGGTAAATTTCCTCTTTAGTTTGTCTCAAGATTTCTTCTTTAACCCACAGATTATTGAGGAATATGTTACTCAGTTTCTATGTATTTGTGAGTTTTCCCATCTTCTTCCCATTACTGATTTGTATAATAGTTTCATACCATTGTGGTCAGGGAAAAATCAGTACCATTTAAATCTTGAAGTTTTTAATCTTTGTTTTGTGGCCTAGCATAGAACCTATTCTAGAAAATGTGCTATTTGTTCTGAAGAATAATGTGCATTCTGCTGTTGTTGAGTGGAATGTTCTACATTTGTTTGTTAAGCTCATTTGGTCTATAGTATTGCTCATGTTTACTTTTTCCTTGATGGTTGTATGCCTAAGTAATCTGTCCTTTAAAGTGAAGTATTGGGCAGGGGAGATGGCTTAGCAGGTAAAGGTACTTGCTGCCGAGCCTGATGATCTGATTTTGATCCTTGAGACCTACATGATCAAAGAGGAGAATTGCTGTGGCATGCACCCCTCCCCCCAATAAATAAATAAATAAATAAATAAATAAATGAAAATTTAAAAAATATGGGCTAGAGTGATGGCTCAGTGGTTATGAGCACTGGTTGCTCTTGCGGAGGACCCAGGTTTAGTTTCTAGCACTTACATGGCAGTTAACAACTGTTGGTAATTCATTTCCATTAGATACAATGCCTCTTCTGGCCTCCGTGGACATTGCATGCTCAGATGCACCTATATATACATAGAGGCAAAACACTCGTACACATAAAATAAAAGTAAATAAATAAAAAATAAGTAAATAAATAAAAATTAGAAATAGACTGGTGTATTGAAATCTTCTACCATTATATTACTGTGTATTTTTGTCATCAGTTCCATTAATATTTGCCCTGTCTTTTTAGTTGCTCTCATTTTTGAGATATATTTATAATTGTTATATCTTATTGATGAATTTTTGACTTAGAATCTGTTCTGTCTGATCAGAATATACCCACTTCTGTTTTCTTTGCTGTATCATTTGCATGGAGTATCATTTTAAATCGTTTAACTTCAGCCTATTTTCTCCCTGAAAACTGAACTTAGTCTTTCTGTCTCTGTCTCTTTGTCTCTCTGTCTTTTTCTCTCTGTCTCTCTGTCTCTCTCTCTTTTTGAGACAGGGTCTCCCTGTAGCCCCAGCTGGCCTGGAACTTACTAAGTAGACTAGGTTGACCTTGAATTCACAGAGATGTGCCTATTTCTGCCTCCCGTAAACTTAGTCTCTTATGGGCAGCATATAGTTGGACCATGATTTTTTTGTTTCTATTGATTTAGTGTCTGGGAATGTAATCCATTTACAGTAAATGATAGATAGAAAAGAATTTACTGTATTATTTTCTGTTTTGTAGTTCCCCTAGCTCTTCTTTGATATTTTCTTTAGGGATTTCATTTTTCAAACAGTGATAAGCTTTGATTTTTTTTGTTCTTATTTATTGTGAATCTTCTATAGGTTTTCCTTTGTGATTACCATAGGCTTCTACAAAACATCCTGTAGTTACAGTATGATTTAAGTGTCTCAAAAAGACCAAAAAAATTAGAGGGTAGCCTAGTAAAATAGCAAGACTTGTTTCAGGAAAACAAAAACTGCTGGGCATGGTGGCACATGCCTTTAATCCCACATTCAGACGGCAGAGGCAGGTGAATCTCTATGAGATAGAGGCCAGCCTGGTCTATATAGGGAGTTCCAGACCAGCTGTAGCTACAGGGAGACCTGTCTCAAAAAACAAACAACAGCAGCAAAAACAAAAAGCAAAAACCCCACACAACAAAACTCTCAAACAAAAAAAAACAATAAGCAAAAAACAACAAAAAAGAAAATGACATTGTAACTTCTGTTTAGTCTACATTTTATATAATGATGTCACAAACTACACTTTTCATAGATTGTGTATTTCTTATCAAATTGTTAGAGTTACAGTTTATTTTGTTTTTTAAATTTTTTTTTTATAACAAGTCAAATGCCTGATAGATATGGGCACAGGCCAATCCAATGGAAGTAATTCTTAAATTGGGGCTCTCTTCTCAATTTTTAAAATTATTTTTATTTTATATATATGAGTGCATTACCTGCATGTATGTAAGTGCACCCATATTGTGCAATGCCTGAGGTCAAATGAAGCTTTCAGATCCTCTGGAACTGGCATTACAGATGGTTGTTAGCTGCCATGTAGGTTCTGGGAATTGAACCCAGGTCCTCTGCAAGAGCAACCAGTGCTTTTAACCACTGAGCCACCTCTCTAGCCCCAGCAATTATTAATAATAATGCTTTTACTAGCATTGGGTAAGATTTTTTTGCATGAAAATATTTTTGCTTTTGAGGTGCTGCTTAAAAAATAAATTCTTACAGTGCTTGTAATTGAGGCTAGGGTCTTGGGTATATTAGGCACTACTCTGCTGCTGGGCCACACCCCAGCCTGGAAGTGTTGAATTTCAAAGGAACACATTTACTTGACTGAGCATAAATGACTTTAGAATATGTATATGAGTGTATTGCCTGCTTGTATGTGAGTGCACCCATGTCATGCAATGCCACGGAAGTCAGAAGAGGGGTTCAGATTCCTCTGGAACTGGAGTTAAGGATGGTTTGTAGCCACCATGTGGGTGCTGTGAATTGAACCCGGGTCCTCTGCCAGAGCAGTCAGTGCTAACCTCTGAGCCATCTCTCCAGCCCCTCATTTGTTCTTTTATTTTCTTTATTCATTTACTCTTAAACTGTTAAGCCATTTTTCCTTAGTAATTTCTGTGTCCCTTTATTACTACTATTTTTTTTTAATTCAGTTTCTCTGCTTTGTGTTTATTTGAATAAAAGTTTGATCATATGAAATAGGTTTCCTGAAAGGTAATGTTCTCTGTGGTCTTTTATGTAAAAGATAATTAAAATAGTCTTATAAAATTTCAGTTTATGAATGTTCTTTTTTTTTTCCTTCTTTGCAACAGAGTCTGTCTTGTAGCCCCAGCTGGCCTAGAACTCCCTATGTAGATCAGGCCGATCTGCCTGCTTCTGCCTCCTGAGTGCTGGGATTAAAGTTATGTACCACCATACCAGGCTGTTATAGCTATCTTTTCTTTTTTGAGACCAGGTTTCCCTTTAGCCCTAGGTAGCCTGGAACTTACTATGTAGACCAGGCTGGCCTCGATCTCACAGAGATCTTCCTGCCTCTTCCTCGCAAGTACTGGGATTAAATGTGTGTACCACCACACCTGACTTCTGGAAAGTTCTTTAGGAGAGGTTACAAACGGAATTGGGGCTCATTACTGAGTTGTGTGAGTGAAAACGTTATATAAAAATGAAATTGCATAGGGAAGGAAGTGTACTGAATTTCACACAGTAGGAATAATGATGACATTTTTCTTTCAGATACAAATATGTGTATGAATTGGATCAAGATATAAAATGTGTGTGTGTGTGTGTGTGTGTGTGTGTGTGTGTTTACATGTAAGGAGTTACACTAAAAAACTTGTTGCCTCTAGATTAGGATATCTTATGCTACACCTATAATTAACACTATCTTTTTGGAGGATGAGATTTGTATCTTTTAATGAATACATATTTCCTGATAATGTTATGACTAAAGATATATATATATTATTGTAGGAATTATACCCCATGGGATTATGTGGTAAATGATCTTCTTGCCACAGAAGAGAATTAAAGAGTGATGGTAAGTGATCAAGCTATTTTATTATTTATTTTTTCATTTATTCATTCATTCATTTGTCTTTGCATATGTGCCACAGCATGCAAATCCAGAGCTGATTTTCTCTCCTCCCATCATGAGTCCTAGGGATTGAACTCAGGTCATCAGGCTTGGTGTCAAGTGCTTTTAGCTCACCAGCCATGTGATCAAGTTATTTCTAAAACTCATGTTATGTTTTGTTTGTTTTGCTTTTCCTTTTCCTACTTTCCTGCCATCTGTTTTTCACTTACTAACTTTTTAATCTTAATTGTTGTTTCAGATACTATTGCTGTTCCCTAGGTTTTCCCCTAGCACTTGTGGGACCCAGAGTAGGAAAATAGATGAAAACTCACTTGTCTTATGTCTCAATATAAAAAATTACGAATAATTCCAGGCTAACTGCCTGACCTGCTTTTTTACTCTGACCCCAGGCAGGTTTTAATGGAATAGTTTCCTTGCACTAGGCAGGCAGAGTTGGACCAAGATAGTTCCTGAATCTGAGATGCAAACTGATATGGGGTAACTCCCAAGAACTGAAGCACACAGGTTCTCATTGCTCACACTTTTCTAACTCAAGATTTTCAGGCCTTGTATCTTTTTAAGTTACTCAAACTGAGAAGTAGAAAGAGGGAATGTCATTCTGTAGGGGAGTGAGGTCTGCCTTGCCTGAGTCCCTCCTTTGGGAGGTTTAGGGTAGGAGCAGGTCTCAGAAATATGTGAACTCTCATGAGTTTTCTGAGTACTTGCTTTCTTAGAGTGTTTTGTGTAAGATTTAACTATAACTTTTTCTCCGTACTGGTGTTTATTGCTTTTATTCGAAACATTTAATGTTTGAACAAGCCTGTGTAAAATCTCTGTGGAGCACTAGGTGGCACACTATGACTTTGAATGAAAATACATGTATTTTGTTGAGGTCTCCTGTAAGAAAGGGACCTAGGTAAGAATGCTATTTGAAATAGGTAGCTAGTAGGTGATGAAGTATTTCAGACTCATTCGCTGATATTTATATTAAAATTATTAAAACTGTTGTTACTGACATTTTTAGAAGAATTAAATTATTAAAAATGATTAGACTTTTTAAGAGTTTTTACTGAAAAGGAGCCAATTCAGCATATTCTAGAAAATTGTGCTTTAAGATGAAAATTGTTTTCGAGACAGGCATAAGATTAATAGTAATATTTTTGCATATTATATTTGAATTAAGAATAAAGATCGTCTTAAACTGGTGGCTTTTTCTTTGAATATATCTCTCTATATTAAGTACAAAAGAACTAAGTTGGTAAAAATGAAAATGTTTCTAAGAGAAAAGAATATTCAATTTGAAGTTTTCTGGTTTAGTGTTATTGCAGTGTTGGATATGTATGGTCCTCCATTTTAATTCTTGGACACTTATTACTTAAGAAGACTCTTGGGTTAGAATATGATATAGGAATAGTGAATTTCATGACCTGACGCATATCTGTATTCTAAGATTTTCTATTTCTGCATAAGGGAATTATCTGCGAGAGCTGGGAGTAGGACATCTGTTTAAACTTCTCCATTTGACTTGGAGTCAGTAGGGATGCTTTTGTTTAAAACTCTGCTTAGAGGGGCTGGAGAGATGGCTTAGTGGTTAAAAGCAGTGGTTGCTCTTGCAGAGAACTGTAGTTCAGTTCCCAGCACCCACATGGTGGCTTAGAACCATCCCTAACTCTAGTTCCAGGGGATCTGATGCCCTTTTCTGTCCTCTGTGGCGATTGCCTGACAGGAGTGCACTTACATATTGTAAGCAAAACTCTCATAAACATTTAAGAAGACACCCTATGCTTAGGGGTCTATAGAGATGTCTCAGTGGTTAAGATCACTGGCTGCTCTTGAAGAGGACCCAGGTTTGATCCCTAGCATTTACATAGTGGCTAATGACTATCTGTAACTCCTGTTCTGGAGGGGTCCAATGCCCTCTTCTGGTTTCTATGGGCAGTGCCACATGTGGTGCACTTACCTACATTCAGGAAAAACACGCACATAAATACAAAGTATGCTTAGGCAATCTAAATAATAGATAGATAATAATAATAGATAGATACCAGTTAGAACTGGTACTCACTGGGAGAGAAGTTCAAGCTAATGGAGGAGGTTTTACAGTGGTCCATGATCAGGAAGCATGAGAGTAAGCAGAGAAGAGGTGAGAATGCAAATCTGGAGAGCACAGGATGAGTCCTCTGAGAGCTTTAATCAGATAGATGCCACACCATGCTTTTCAGGGTGAGGTCAGAAGAGTGAAGAAGGAACATAAATACAGATGTTAATGTCAGATGTAGAGAAAGTCAGAAGTTTTGGAGAGAAAATACTGATTAGCACTGACTAATACTGATCACAGAGTGCTAGAATAGGAGGGATCTTTGCTTTTCTAATAGTTTGGATTTTCTAGTAGTTGTTAGTTCATTCATTTGTGCAGTAAAACTTGGTTCTTGACACATAGATTTGGCATGCATATTTATTCCCTTTTCCCCAACATAACAGAAATTTTTTTCTCTACAGGATCCTTTCCATCAGCATAAAAATATGATACACTGTCTTTAAGCTCCTTGGTTTTCATTTTTTCTTTGTTTTTCAAGATAAAATTCCAAAAGATTTTTAGACTCAGTGTCTGATGTTTGGTCTCTCACTGGTCATTCTCATTTGAACCTTCCATTCAGATTTTGATTCTGTTAATCCATGGAATAGACAATAAGTTACTGATTTCTTAAAAATAAATCACTTGTTCTAAATTATTACAGTTGTCACTTTCTGGACAGTGCAAAGGTGTTCATCTCACTGCTGTTTCTCTTAAGGCTGAGTTTTCATTTTTGCCTCCTCTGTTTACATTCAAGATTTTCCCCTTCATTTTAGGTTCTCTGTGCTGTGCTTGTGTATTTGTATTTATCCTGCTGAGGGGTTATAGAGCTTCTGGAAGGCTTGGGCTTAAATTTTTTGTCAAATTGAAATTTAAGGGAGGGAGAGATGGCTTAGTGGTTGGTTAGGAGCATTGGATGCTCTAACAGAGCACCTGGGTTTGGTTCCCAGCTCCCAAGTGGCTGCTAACAACCATCCTTGGCTCCAGTTCCAGGAGATCTGATGCCCTGTCCTGAACTCCATGGGCCTTGCATGACGGGTGAACTTATGCAGGCAATACACTCATATACATAAAATATAAAAATAACAAATAAAATATTTTTAAAATCAATTTAAATAATCACTAATTATTAAATAATACAGAGAGGATAGACATTGAAATATTTACTGGAATGGGACATTTAACTGATTTAATCAGATGTTTCAGAAAATGGTATGAGAATATTTTGGACATTATGTTAATTTGTATCTTCTCCATTATTTGGATTTATTTCAAAATAAAAATATAAGTTATCTGTTTATCTCATTGGCTTTCTAATTGACTTCTCACCACACAGCCACACTCATTTGTTTAACTAGACAAACTTGAGCAGTTGTCACAGAGGCTTTATGGCAGCTTTCTCTTGTATTGAAACACTTGATAGAATTAAATCATAAAAATAAAAGTTTTTGGAGATTTCACTCCTCAATTGGGAGACCTAATTGCTTGGATTTTGCCAGGTAGCAGCAGAGTCGGGGATTAGTGTGTGATGGAATATAATGGTTATCAGCCAGGAATCAGAGAACAAGTTTGACTGAATGACTTGGGGTTCCAAATATGTGTTGAGGGCAAAAGTCTCCAAAGAGCCAAGGACTTCCAGTAGGTTCCACCTTCTGAATGTTTCCCTATTCCCAGTAGTGTCACATTGGGGATCAAACCTCTAATACCCAGACTTTTGGGGGGACATTCAGTATCTGAATTATAGCAGCCTGCAAAGATGAAATAAAAAATAGTTATCTATCTTTTGGAGAAAAACTTTGATGACTCTATTATGTATAGACCACCCCTTTCTGAAGTCATACTGGTCATTTATTTATAAATTCATTCATCCGAGAATAACAGGTTTCTTTTTCTTCAGATATTCCTTTAAAAAAAATTAAAACCAATAGGAGAGAGCAAATTGAATGTAATTAGCAACATATCAGAGATGAGCCATCTCAGCAGCCCCTTACATTTTTTACATCCCCTCTTCTGAATGGTCCTGAGTCTTGGAGGCAGACACACACACACAGAGAGACATACACACACACCACACTCTTTTATTTACTTCCATTTAGGGCTGAGCATTGGGCTTGTGTGCCACAGCAACAGTATAGACCACAGCAACAGATATGGTTTTAATCGTTTGAGCAGTTGTGAGTTTCCATAGTTCACTGTCAAAAGAAGATTTTGTACCTCCTATGTACCTCCTATAGGTACAGACTGTTGTCCTGGATTATAGTACTAAACATGGGTTCCTCCTGTGAAGCAGGTCTTAAACTCACTTGGAAAGTAGTTGGTCATCTCGTATCAGTTGTGCCACTTTTGTGCCAGTGAATATATCTTATCTGCATGCTGATAGCATTACATTCAGAATCCACAGCCAAACACCACCAGTTCTCCTCTAGAGGTCTGCATAGTACCTTCTAGCACTATACATCTTAGCCAGTATGGAGGAAGCTTTTAGCTCAGTTCCATTTGAAGTCTTCATGTCTTGTAACCAGAGTATGCAGTACCTTCAGCATTATGGACTAACCGAGTCTGGTATGCAACCAAAGCAATAGCATTAGCCTGCAGAGTGTGTGTGTGTGGCTTCACATGCCTCTCTTGTCAACAATTTATAGGGAAGTAGTATACCCTTGGTAGTGGGATTTTCATTCAGTAACATTATGGCTTCTGGAAGTGTCTTTTTTATACTCACTGCTCACTACTTTTTTTGTTTAAACTCTTGGTTTTTACTGCCTTTTCTAAATCTGTAAGACACTCAGAGGTGACAGATCATCTATGCAATGAAACATTTATTTAGAGGATGTGAAAGATAACAAAGCAAGCCCTGGGCCATTAGCTCATGATAAATAATAGGACGGTGAAGGCAACCCCACAGAAGCATTCTGAAGGTTCACTGCCTTACACGTTGAACAAAATGTAAATAGTCTTGGGACTCTGCAGCTAAGCTCTGTGTGCGTGTGTGTGTGTGTGTTGGGTATAGTGACATAGGTAGGTGGGGTACTACCTGCTTAGCTCCCTGTAATCCACAGTCATTCTCTACAAGCTTTCTGGCCCTTTTATCAGCTTTGTATTTCTGTTGAAAGTGCTTTTGGCTTGGAGAACAATCTCAGCTTTACAGGCTTCCATTTTGCCCATGCATATGTAAGTTTTGAACCCTCAGGTAAAACTCTTCTATAGTGGTACACAGGTATATTCTAACAGTATATCTACCCCCACTGTATTTTCTTACAGTGGAGAAATGTATAGTGTACTCTCAGGGGAGAAAACTACCTACCCCTAGGACAAGTTTAATCTTTATCACCTGCACCATCTTTCTCAATATCCATGCCTGGTGTTTTAGGAATTTTCCATAAATTGAGATATACCAACTCAGCTCCAGAAGCCACCAAAGTCCAAGTGCTCTGCCCACAGGATGGTCCTAGTTTGTATTCAATTGCTGTGATAAAATAGTAACGAAAACCAACTTGGGGAGGTATTTCACCTTACAGCTTACAGTTCATCATTGAGGGAAGCCAAAGGAGCTCAGGGCAGGAATACAGAAGCACCAATCATAGAGGAGTGCTGCTTACTGGCGTGCTCCTCTGGCCTGTGCTCAGCTTGCTTTCTTATATAGCCCTGGATCACCTACCCAGGGGTAGCACCACCCATGGTGGACTGGGCCCTCCCACATCATTCAACAATCAAGAAAATGCCTCACAGACATGCCCACAGGCCACTCTGTTAGATGCAATTTCCCAATTGAGTTTCCCTCTTTGGTGTGTCAAGTTGACAACTGAAGTTATCCAGCACAGGGACCAACAAGCTCACAATTCAAGGTAGGACATTACCTGCATACAATCTTGGCCAGAACAGCTTGGTTAGTTCCTACCCCATGAGATCTCAGCAAGGGGTACAGTAGGAAATCACCTACACTTCCTCCCCATGGTTCACCCCTTTGGTGAGCTGTTGTGTAGGCTTTAAAGCCATCTAGAGGCTCACAAGCAGATTCTTTCTGATGGGCTTTTCCCCTAGGAACTCTGGATAGGAACTCTTGCCATGTTGGCTTTCAAGTGACCTAGCCAGGCTCCTTTGCATGCTTTCCCTTTTTTTCTCATTACTTCTGTGGGCAGATTCTCTCTGGGCAAACAGCACATCCTTAGCTGCCTGTCTTGTCAGCCCTAGCAAGGGCTAGCCAATTCCTGCCACGGTATTCTTCAAATCCCTTCCTATACATCCATTCCGAGGAATTGCAATATATTCTCTAGTCCTTTGGGGCACCCTCATATTCAGGTGGCAGACTACATAAAGAAGGCATGCCTCCCTATATCACATAAAGGAAGATGGCCATATCCTGGATTTCACTTGAGGATACTCTCCCCGATGTATCTTTGATTCTGTGAGGTCTCCAGTAGGGCACCAAGTGTTGTGTGACTTTCCCCAGGAATAGGTAAAGAAATATCTATTTACTCAAGAGAGAGTACCAACAGATCAAATAAAGCATTGTGCTTATATTAGTTACTTTTCTGTTGCTGTGATAAAACCCCATGACCAAGGCAACTTCTAGAAGGGAGAGTTTATTTAGAAGAGTTTATTTCAAGGAGTTAGAGTCCATGGTGATGGGGGAGGCATGGCAGCAGAGGTGGCTGGAACAGAAAGCTGTGTGATCACATCTTTAAGCAGAGAGCCACTAGAAAACCAGCAAGGCTTAATAAGAACTCTCCAAGCCCACCCTCAGTGACATACTTCCTCCAGCAAGGCTGCATCACCTAAAACCTCCCAAAACAGCACCACCAGCTGGGGACAAAATGTTCAAATACTTGTAGCCTATGGGGCATTTTCATTCAACACACCCCATTCCACTCCCTGACCCCCACAGGCTCATGACCATTTAAAATGCAAATTTATTTAGTCTACCTTCGAAAGTATGCCCATCTCCCTGGGTTTATTTGTAGGACCATGGGTGACTCACGCTCTACCACTGAGATGTCATATATACCAGCTAATTGTTTATTTCTATGTAACACCAAATTTGAGGGGAGGAGAAGCCATGTGAGTATCTCATGAGACCTCATGAGTCTCCTGATCCTCCTCCCTCCATAAAGAAAAGTTAATAGACCTGATCTTATAAGGATGTCATGTAGATCATCACAGGTGCTCTGTTTCAAGGTAGTGATGGTCACTGTATAGAGGATCTGTGTAGTTCTGACTCATGTTGTTCAAGGACCAGCTAAATTTTCTTTGTCCTTCTCACTGTCTTATATAAAGCTTTGCAGATGGTAATTGTTTCAGTACATGTTGTTACTAAGAGCTCTGGGAATACTAATAGTCTAGGCAAGAACTGCAAGAGGGCACAAAGATACCACTAATTAGACTGAGACTTTGGGCTCAGCCAGTGGTGAACTTGTTTAAAAAGGAGGCAGGTTATGGGCTGGGGAGATAGCGTGGTTGGTAAAGAGGACCTGAGTTTAATCCCTAGGACCAACATAAAAAAAGCTAGGTATGGTGGCGCATGCCTTTAATCCCAGCTCTGGAGAGGCAGAGACAAAAAGATCCTTAGGGCTCCCTGGCCAGCCAGCCTGGCCTACTCGGCAAGTTCCAGGCCAGTGAGAGACCATGTCTCAAAAAATAAAGTAGATAGCACTGAAAGAATGACACCCAAGGTTGTCCCGTCATGTACATGCACACACACGTGTATGCATACACATGAACACATACACACACACACACACACACACAGAGGAATGAGGCAGGTTGCCCACATGGAGTTAAGATGTAGAGGAGGAGGAAGCATTTATGATCATATGAATGTTTTAGGATCCCTCTGCTTTCATTGGTACTTGGCTAATGTAGACAAACAGACCATTTTCATAGAGCATTTGTTAATGGGAAAGCAGTGTCTGTTATTTTACTGGCTTGACTTCCAACTGGTGCAGAGTCTTGTTGGAGTAATATGTGTAGGCTACTGTTGCTTTCAGGTTATGTGGGTGCAGAGCAGGTAACAAATTGCGCACATTGCTGAAGGAGTTTCAGGTTTAAAATTTATAATTTAAATAATTTCTGTCAGTTACAGGAATTATTACTTAAATTCTAGTAACTTACAGATAAAACTCTGCGACTAATAACTGAATATAAATTTACTTTAGCGTTATCACTAGAGAATGAAAAGAAAAAGAAAATCTTTTCAAAAAGATTTTATGCTACAGAGAGCTGTTAGGAAAAATATATAGCATGTTTGCAAAATTGGTCTGTTTCATTAGGACTTGGTGATGTAAAATGTGCTGATGCAGGTGCAGAGTGGTGGGCATACTTCCTGGTGTAGCTTTTCACACTTTAGCTTGTATTTATTTGGGAAATAATTTAAAGTTGTAATTTTAATCTTTTTATAGCTAAAAATAGACTTAGTGTTGGATGAACCACCTTCCAAATTCCAAATCTCTCTCTCCCTCTCTCTCTCTCTCTCTCTCTCTCTCTCTCTCTCTCTCTCTCTCTGTGTGTGTGTGTGTGTGTGTGTGTATACAGGGGTTGGTTCTTTTTCTACTCTGGATCTTGGGGACTGTACTCAGGTCTACACTGGCAGCAGCTGCCTTTACCACTGAGCCATCTCCTGGAATCTCCACCTTATTTTCTGAGGCAGGGTCTCTCACTGAACCTGGACCTCCCTGTCTTGGCTAGACTGACTGAACAGTGAGCCTCCATGTCTATCTCTGCCCCACCCTTTGCTGGATTACAGATGTATACCATGCCCAACTTTTATGTGGGTCTTGGGATCCAAACTCAGTTCCTCATGCTTGTACAGCAAGCACTTTTCCCACTGAACAATCTCCTAAGTCCCTCAAATTAGTTTTTAAGTGTTTCCTTTATGAATAAGTATGAGAAGTAATGAATTCAAATAATCCTAATCATCTAATAAATCTTGTTTCTGTACAAACAGGCTTCCTTCCAGCGCTCCAATAGTCATGACAAAGTAAGGAGAATAGTTGCAGAGGAGGGTCGCACAGCAAGGAATCTCATAGCTTGGAGTGTCCCACTAGAAAATAAAGACGATGATGGTATGTATTTAAAGAAATTAGCTTCATCTTTGTTGTAAACTGGGAGAATAGGTAGGTTTGATAGTATATGCCTACAGTCTCAGTTGCTGGGAAGACTGGAGGTGGGAAGATTTCTAGACTAGCCTCCATAGTATAGCAAGGCCCTGTGTAAATAAAACGAAACAAAACATAAGGATATATTTAGTTCTAGAGAGTCATTAAATTTTAAAGTGAATGCTCACAATTAGAAATCTTCAGCAAATCGGCATATTAAATAAAAAATTTACTGATTTTTGTGTATAAATTTTTTAAAAAGTTATTTGTTCATTTGCTATTTCAGGTAATAATGAAATTGGGTTTGTTATAATTGGAAGACTTTTTAAGTTATAGTTTTCCTTTTATTAAAATTCTTATAGTTTATATCAATACATTGTTTTATAATAATTAGGAAGTAAAGCTTAGTGGTAGTGTGCTTGCTGAGCATACACAAGTACCCAAGCTTGATTCTCAGCATCCCTCCTCCCAATAAAACAAACAAAATGTTTGAAGGTTCCCAAAGCATAGAAATGATAAATTTTAAGAAGATCACACTGCTAATTACCGACTTGATCACTGCATGGTTATACAAGCTATCACACTGTACTCCATAAACATGTATAGTTATGTGTCAATTAAAAATAGGAAATAAAAATTTAAACCCATTTACTACAGTACCTATAATTAGCTATGATTTAATTTAGTGATTTAATAAATAAGAGGTATTTTTATTATTTGAATTATAAAATTTTTCTTCCATCCCTTCTTTTTAATGCAGCAGGGTAAGGCTTCCATTGAGAATTGCCAACTAAGCTGTTACTCTGGTAGTTGTGAAATGGTGATTGACTAACTTCCAAGTTCCTTCTACATCCATCAGTTAGCCTTCTAATGTAGACTTAGCTCTTCCCTCTGCTTTTATTTTCTATGTATATGTATTTATAAATTTAAATGTGTGTGGATTCATGGTTTATTTAATGGACTGTAATCTGTATTATTTTGATGTTCAGATTGCTTTAGATTTGTCTGATGGGAGATTTTTGGTGCTTCCATTTCCTTTTGACACTTAAAAATCATTCTTTGAGAATATCTTTACACAATAGGGTGTTTCAGGCTAAATAAGAATGTACCTAAGCTGTGGTAGTTCAGTAGCAGAGTACTTCATGCTTAAAGTTTTAGGGGGAAAAAATCCAAAAATCCATCCACCCATGGATCACTTTTTTCTTTCTTTTATTTTTACCTTTTAAAACATTCGGATTTTTCTTCACAAATTTCATCTTTTTACATTTGGATATCTGATACATCTTTAGATAGTTCTTATGTAACAGTATGTGGCTGGGATCCAGTTTTAGCATTTTCCTTATGGCTAACAAGTTGATCCAGCATTATTTAAGAGTCTTCACTCCCTTTACTTGGTTTCGCCTTTTCTGTAGGTTGAATATTTTTATTTCACTAGCCTGTTTATCTAATATAGAGCAGTCTGGCCTGGATCCCAGCCTCAGTGTAAATGCCTCAGTGTTTTTATTGTAGAGACACTAGCATCTTAAATAGCTGTTTCCTCTCTTGTAGCTTCTCTTTGTCTTTCTATTTTTTGAAACACAAAAACTCAAAAGGGGACACTGAATTCATGTTTTCTAATCCAGTTTCTGACTAGCTAATCTTTCTAAAAGGAATTTACTCTTCCTTTTTGTTTTAATCTTTTGTGTGTATGTATGTGCATGTTCATGTGTGAGTGAAGGAGTGTACATGCCTCAGCTCACATATGGAGGAGATCAGAGGACAACCTTGGGTGTCGGTCCTCACTTTCTACCTTGTTTGAGACAGGGTCCCTTTGTTGTTTGCTGCTGCCAGGCTAGCCAGCCACCAAGCTACTGGGATTCTCTGGTCCCTGCCTCCCACCTTGCTGTTGGAGCACAGGGGTTCTATATGCATGCCATTGCATCTGCTGTATATGGCATCTGGGGAGCTGAACTCAGGTCCTCATGTTTGCATGTGAAGTGTTTTACCATAGAGCCATGTCCCTATTCCCCGCACCCCCTTCATCTGGATGAAAAATACATATCTGCTGGGCATGTTGGCACACCCCTTTAATTGCAGCAGGAGGCAAAGGAAGGCAGGTGGTTCTCTGTTGGGATCCAGGCCAGACTGCTCTGCGTAGGGAGTACTAGGCCAGCAAGGGCCGTAGGGAGACCTTCTCAAAAAACAAAATGAAATATATTATGACTTTTATAGTTACTATGTTTTATAACATGAAATTTTCTTTTCATCATTTTCAGTGGGCTGATCACAAAATAGTCTGAAGGGGTTTTTTTTTTGTTCCTTTTGTTTTATTTAAATAAAGCTGCTTGTATTCAAACAGCACAGAAGGAGAACAAAGGTCTGGACATGACTTTGTTTTTTTAAAAATTCATAATTGGCTAATACAATTTTAAGACTTTATTTGTACTTACTGTGAAATAAAACTATGAGTATTGAGAATTAGACCTTTCAGCAGGCAATAAAACTCATAGTTTTATTTCACAGTCAGCATACACGTAAAATAAAAATAATAAATAAAATATTTTAAAAAATAGAAAAAAGAATGCCAACATTAATCATTTTTGATAAGGATAATTTTATATCGTCTAATCTTTGCCATTTATAGAAAAATGTTTATTTTTTAAAATAGCAATTTGTTCTTGTACTTTGACTGCGAGATACACTCCAGTGTTTCAGAGGATACTAATTCCATTTTAAACAAGCATTTTAAATAAATCCTCCTAGTATTATTTCATTTTCTTATGGTGTTTATTACAAGCTAGTTTCTCTTCTTGCTATTCTTCTTTTTTTTTTTTTTTTAATGTGTGTGTGTGCGCCAACCTACTGGGCATCACACCCTTAAAGAAAACCGAGTCTCCTCTCAGTAGCTATCAATAACCAATAGTTCCTCAGTTACACCTGGGGCTTCTTGCCCATCTCCTCCATCCATGCAGGGTTTTTGTCTGAGTGGGGCTTGTGCAGACCTGTTCATGCTGTCTCAAGAGCTGTGGGTTTGTATTTGTAATTTCCCTATTGTCTCTGGAAAACAAGTTTTTCTTGTTTCCAGTTGTATTCCAACTCTTGTTCTTACGATCTTTGTGTCCCCTCTTCCACAATAATCCCTGAACTTTGGGAGGAGAGGGTGTGATATAGGTGTCCCAGGGTATGGACCCACACCCAAGAGCATTTCCAGAACACTGGACTGGAGAGACCTTACAAAATCAAAGAGGACATGAAGTAAGGTGGGGGTAGGGAGGTGAGAGTGGATCTGAGAGGAGATGGGGGAGGGATCTGAATATGATCAAAATATATTGTATGAAACTTTCAAAGAATCAAAAGTATTATAAAAAACATCTGAAAGGTTAAAAAAATGTGTGTGTGTGTGTGTGTGTGTGTGTGTGTGTGCATGTGCACGTCCAGGTGCCTGAAGAGACCAGAAAGAGGGTTTGGGATCCCCTGGAGCTGAAGTTATAGGCAGTTGTGAGCCCTACAATGTGGGTGCTGGGAACTTAACTTGCTCTGGAGGAGCAGAGTACCAGTCTTAACTGCTGTGCCATCTGTCCAGCAGTTTTTAAAAACTTCATCAGTAGCATCTTGACAATAAGTAAAATTGTACCATTCTGTGGTTTCTGGGTGGAATTTATGTACTAGGGATGCCTGTATGCTTTGTATAGTTTCATTGTATATTATATAATTACCTATACTTTAGTTTTATATTATCTCTTTTGATCTATGTATGTATGTCCTTTTTCTTGCTTCAAAGGAAAACTGAAATGTCAAAGTGGTGGAAAATCTAAGAGGACAATTCAGGGTACTCATAAAGCCACTAAGCAGGTACAGCATTTTCAGCTTTTTACTTATTTGTTTTTAATCCTTTTCTGGAATATATTATACATAATACATTATGAAAGTTAATTTTCAGGATTTGAATATTGTATATTTTGTTTACATAAAAATTTGATGTAACATTTTTTATTTCTAAATGTAGATTCTGTTTTCACTATGTGCCTAGCCCTAAGTACTTTATACACTTGTGTTTTTGTTTTCATAGTCATCCTCATTATTCTTCTCACTTAAGAGTGACATTATGGGTTGGGGAGAAGCCCAATGGGTAAGAGCAGTGGCTATGCAAGCATGAGGAACTGAGTTCAAATCCTTAGCACCCACATTTGAAAAACAAAGCAAGGATGGCTATGCCTGCCTGTCACACCAGCACTGGGAGGCAGAGACAGGCAGATCCTAGGAGCTCATTGGCCAGCTTAGCCTAAACAGCAAGCTTCCAGTTTAGTGAGATACTGTCATAAATGGAATATGGTGGACAGTGTCAACAGTGACAGGAGAGTGTGTACACCCACAACATCATCAGAAATAAAAAGTGAAATTCTGTTACAAAGACAGCAGTGCTGAGAGAGGCTCTATAACACACATACACAGTCAGGATTTCAGCCCAGACTGTCAATTTTGAGTTTATAACCTTAATCTTTCTGCCGCACATTCTGTATTTGTGACTTTATGATATTCTTCCTGGATGTTATGGTACTTTTAGTTTATAAAAGTCATAATTTATTAACTCTAAAAGTTTTCAAATTGATCACTACAATTGAAAAAAGTCCACCCTCATGTTAAAAAAATATTCAGCATAATCATAGTTAGCTTTAAATTCAGATTCCTTCTTTTTATTCGCTACTTTAGTTGGATATTTTATATATTAGTATAAAATTAGTATAAACCAAAAACTTACTATAAAGGAAACACAGAATTCTAATCATGCTGCCATTGTAACTGACAAAGAATCCACCCCACAGAAGCATCAATGGCAAAATGTTTTTTTTTTTTTTAAGATAAGAAGAAAGAGTGTTTTCAAAAATAAAATAAATATCTCAGAAGGAAAACAAAACAAAAAATGTATATTGACAGGTAAGTGGAGTTGAGGACACAAAGTAAAGGGTTAAAGCATCTAGAAGATGTGTGATAATTCCAGTGTGATAAGAAAGGCTGAAATGCCCTGTTTATGGTGGGAAACAGACCCAGGGTCATGGTTTGAAAGCTTAGGCTTTGCAGGGCTGTGCACTAGGAGACTGAACATGCTACAACCTGTCTGGGGTTGTGGCATAGTAAAGCTGATGTCTGCGGACAGTGAAGACTGCTTTCCTGAGAAACTGATTCAAGAATGTATCTATTGCAGTCCAAGGAAACAGCTATGGGCTCTAATGAAAGACCTCAGGAAATAGGACTATAGATTGATGGCATCTAAAGGTAAGGGACGTAAGAAAGTAGAAGACATGAAACTTGTAATAAGTTTGATAAGTAGCACAGAAGGAAAATCTCATAAAATACAGATGAATTTGCTCCTTAGGTAATGAAAAATCAATGATATTTTTCTAAAGAGTGTTCAAATAAATGAGTTTGAGTTCCTCAAGGGAAAGATATCAAAAACAAATCAGGTAATTTGTCTAATAAAGTAGTTGAATATTAATTTTGAATGTTTATAAATAAAAATTAATCAGAATTTTTTTTATTCTTTTTGTTTTTTGAGACAGGGTCTTCTTGTAGCCCCAGCTAGCCTGGAACTCACCATATAAACCAAGCTGGCCTCCATTGCACAGTGATCCACCTGTCTCTGCCTCCTGAGTGCTGACATTAAAGGCATGTGTCACCACACTTGGCTCTTTTGCAAAATGTATTATTTTATCTTTGAAAGTTTCATACATGTATATACTGTATCTTGGTCATACCCATCCCCCACTCCCTTCATCCTGCCTTCCCCTGTCTCCCTCCCAACTTCCCAATAATCTCACCAAGCCTGATTAGTGCTGCCCTTGTGCTCATGGGTGTGGGGTCATCCACTGGGGTATAAGCAACCTACCAATGACCATCCACAAAGAAAAGTGACTTTTTTCCCTCAGCAGCCATCAACTGGCATTAGGTCCTCAGTTAGAGGTGGACATATGGAACACTGCCCTCTCCATGCTGGAAGATTTGTTTGTTTCTTTGTTTTTGAGACAGGGTCTCCTTGTATCCTTGGCTGGCCTGGAACTCGCTATGTAGACCAGACTGGACTTGACTGCCTCTGCCTCCCAAGTGCTAGGATTAAAAGTGTACATCACCATGTCTGACCACACTGGAATTTTTAACTGGACAAACCTGTCTCTTGTGTTTGAGATGAGAAAATTCTTTTGATGAGTTCAAATGTGATGTAAGCTGAAAAAAGGAATGTCTTAAGTATTCATGTTGAAAAATAGTGCTTAAAAAAATCCAATCCCTAAAAACTTCATTCCTTAGAAACCTTTTTACTTATTTTTTCATGTTTCATTTTATTTCATCAGAATACTGCAGTAGACTGTAAAATAGCATCCGCAACTGGAGATAAACATTTTGATAAAAGTCCCACAAAAGCAAGACACCCACGGAAAATTGATCTAAGAGCTCGCTACTGGGCATTTCTTTTTGACAATCTTCGCCGGGCAGTAGATGAAATCTATGTAACTTGTGAATCAGATCAGAGTGTGGTGGAATGTAAGGTAAGGTACACTGTGGAGTTTGTAATTTATTTAAAGTCAGATGCTCTAATTTTTGCAACTTCTGACTTGATCATTTACTTCACTATTTAGAGTTTTTAATTTCTAAAAATATTTTATTTATAATTTTTACTTTATGTGTATGCATGTATTGCCTACATGTAGGTAAGTGTACCCATGTCGTGCATTGCCCACAGAGAACAGAAGAGACTGTCAGATTCCCTGGAACTGGAGTTACGGACAGTTGTTAGCTGCCATGTGGGTGCTGGGATGGTTCTGGGATGGTCTTCTGCAAGAACAATCAGTGTTCTTAACTACTGTGCTATCTCTCCAGCCCCTATTTTGAAATTTTAATAAATTGCATGCTTTTCATTTTGTTATCTGTAATGAGAATCGTTCTTTTGATCCTTATGCTAAGACTGGCATTATGCTTGAGGTTTTCTTAATTTTTGAAGTTTTTTAAATTTTTTTTATTTATTATTTTATTTTATGTGTATGAGTATAGTGCCTGCATGTATGTGAGTGTACCTGTGTCATGCAGTGCTGCAGAGGTCAGAAGAGGGCTTCAGATTCCCCTGGAACTGGAGTTAAGGATGGTTTGTAGCTGCCCTGTGGGGGCTGGGAATCGAACCCGGATCCTCTGCAAGAGCAGTCAGTGCTCTTAATCTCTGAGCCATCTCTCCAGCCCACTTTTAGAAGTTTTTATTATTTGCATTATTTGTTTGTTTGCATGACCATATTATGTGTCTTCTCACACACACACACACACACAGAATTTAAAAAGTCTTACCTGCATTTTCTCTTGCTACTGTAGTTAGCAAGAGAGAGATTTTCAAATTCTTTGGTCTCATGTTTAATGTTAAAGGAAATTGCTCCCTTTTTGTTGAGATACTTGGCATTCTCCTAATTCGCTCTGGTCAGTGAAAAGTGGGATTGATGGCTAATAATAAACAATCCTGGGTGGAACTAGGATGTCACTGTAAGGTGTGTTTTCTGATTTTAGATAGTCTTGTGTTTGTAATAAGATTTTGAGCAGACACTTAGCATAGTCAAGTCTGTTTCTGAAAACTCACTAAATAGCCTGACCTCTTAATAAATAAAAGCTATATGCTATATTAATTTTGATGAGTAAAATTATATTTAGAAAAACCAAAATTATATATCTTCATAGAATTATTAAAGAGATAACTGCATTTATATTAAAAAACCCCATGGTTTTAATGGTAAACATGGTTTAAAATTCTTATTTAGTCTTTGAAATACATGAGAAATCAAAGAAAGCTACATGTTGAAACAGCAGTTGTTTCCTCCTTAATTGGAAACAGCCAAAATAAATTTTATATTAGCTTGAAAATATGATTCATCAGAAGCAAGTTCCAAAATGAACAATAGTTGGATATATCCAAAGTTCACAATATTGTCCTTACCATCAGGTAAAAATTATTTATGTTTTAAGAAAAATATTTTAAATTGAAAAAAAATATCTCTTTTTTAAAAATATAATTTGTTGAGAATTTCATACATGCACATGCATATAAGGTGTTTTGATCAAATCCGTGCCTACTCCCTCCCCTTTAACTCCTCCCATATTTCCCATCACTTTTTTTCTGGTAACTTCATGCACTCTTTCTTCTTCTTTGATTTATTTATTTTTATGGAGCTTTTGGCTACTCTTAACATTCCCCCCTCTGTAGAGGTAACCCTAAAATCTTCTAAGGATTAGATACAAACTCCCAAATGCTTTCAACCTTTTTGGCCTTTGGAACAGAGTATGTTGGTGTGAGGCCCAAGGACATTGTGACTTTTTTTTTTGGCAGACCTGAGACTTTACCTCAGACCCCTCCTGTATGTGTGTGTGCTGTGTTATTAAATATCTCTTGTGTGGAAAAGGAAGCTCATCTGCACATCTGTCTCAAGCCTCTCATTCTCCTTTCAGGCTTTAAATCTAACAAATTGGCACTGAAAACTGAGATGAGTCTCTGTGTGGAGGTGGGGGGGAGTTCTTACCATATTCATTATTACCACCCCGTGTCCTTCATTATTAGGACTCTGTGCCCTTCATTGTTAGGAATCTGTGTCTTTATTAGGACTCTGTGACCTTCATTCCTAGGACCCCGTGTCCTTCATCATTAGGACCTTAGCCCCCCATCATTAGAACTATGTGTCCTCATTTACTAAGATTTTGTCTCTTCTGTAACCAGGACTTTTGTTCTCACTAGACATTTTATTTTCTGGTGCCAAACCCTTGGTGAGTCTCCCCTAGATCTCCACTAGGGGCCTCTGCCCATCCCATTGGCCCTAAACCAAAAACTCTAGTGGTAGATCAGGGGCTCCTATCCAACTCTTTGCCCAGACTGCCTTTCTTCCTGAGACACTGGAACTTCAGTTTAGGACATATTTCCAAAGGGGAACCTGAAGTTCATGAAGACATTTAGGTCTTTCTTTCCCTTTTATCCCCACACCTTCTTGACTCACCAAACAAGCAAGCAAGCAAACAAACACCAGCATAAAAACACCCCAAAACCCTAATGGACATGACTATTCAATCCCACCTGCCGAAAGGTAGCCCCTCGCCTTGGTTGTTATATCTACAACCTTAAAATTCTTTATCTTGGGCTGATAGCAAATAAAAAAAATTAATTTTCTTGTGTAATGACATATGGCCATGATACAAATGATTTAGCAATAGGCAATGACCTGACAAACATACCTTTGATTTAAAAATTCTTAGGGACTTAGGAAACTAATGGGGATTTTTGCTACTTTAGCATTACCCCCTATGAAGAGGTAACCCTAAAATCTTTTAAGGATTAGATAAAAGCTCCCAAATACTTTTGACATTTTTGGCCTTTGAAACAGAGTATGTTGGTGTGAGGCCCAAGGACATTGTGACTTTTAGCCAAGAAACTGGCTACTTTTCTTTGGGGTCTTTTTACCCTAACTGCCTAGCCAGTTCGTACCTCCTATTCTTATGACACTACCCTCTGAAGAGGTTACTCAAATTGCCAATAGGGAATAGGGACACAGACCGCTCTGGCTTCTTCCATGCTGAGCAGGGAAGCAGGGTGAGGCAATTGGAATACCCCTTAAGTGGGTCTCAAAGACTCCCAGATTGCATAATTCTTATCTCTAAAGGGAAAAGAAAGTCTTTGAATCCTGAATAGGAGATGTGAAGGAGAAGGCAAGAGTAATTAGCATTACAAGTTCTAGTCAGAGAACTAGAAGAAAGTCAGAACAGGGCAATTTTCCAAATGTTCCTATGAGTCCTTTGAAATTTCTTGACAAGGGCTTCCAAAAGCATCCCTCTGTTGGGTTCCTTCTCATTTTTCTATTGTCTTCCAAGGCTGGACTCTAGAGTGGTAGATTCAAAGTTTGCTTTCAGATATTTTGATAGCTGTTGGAGTGGGTAGAATCAGTGTCAGTTCCCTCTCAAAGGCTTCTAGATAGGGGAAGAAAACAAATTTATCCATCATTTTAGAACAATAGCTTGTTGCCTCCCTTAGCTACATGTGGGCACTACAGTATTGGAGACCAAGATTTGAAGTCTTGTGTCTGAGCAGCACTTTGTGGTTAGGAACAAAATCATCAATGAGAAATAATTGTCTAAATAACTTTTTATATAGGCTTAAGCCTAATGTCTGGGAAGTGTAATCCCTTGAACTCTTAAAGAAATATACTGATGACTTTACTCTTTGGTTATACTTTCCTTTTGGTTGTTTAAGACCATACAGTTGGCCCAATAAATCTATTTATTTTTACACTTAAGGTCATTTGAAGATCTGTTCCTCAGGGGTTACATGGGCTTGGGAGGACCTCCTGGCTCCTTTCTTTGACCAGTTCCATCTATGTGAATATAAGTCAAAGAACCTGCTCGACCATGTCTGGCTTCACTTGGAAGCATGAATGAGATGTTTCCTCTGAGTTGACCCTCCTCTTTGTAGACTGGACACTGGTTCAGACCTATCTGAACAAGAGGACAGGTGACTCACCACAGTTACAGGACATTTTGAGAGATGTTCCATAGTTCCCTGGAACTTAATCGACCTTGGAGGGCAAGAGGCAAAAACTGTCCTTTGAGTCCCTCTGACCACATTAGTATAGGCCTCAAACTATGGCTGTTAAACATCCAGTAATGTTAGTTCCACCAGTCTGGTACTTTTAATTATCACATGCTATGTATATAAGGCTTGGGTAAAAAACCAAATATTCCCTGCTACTGTATGCTGTGGTGTTGGCACCCCCAGCTGTTCCCCAGTACTTGTCCATCTGGTGAATGTAGTCAGCCTATCTAGAGGTCTTTGTTTTATGAAGGTCAGCTTTTCTTCATCTAGCAGAAATTAGTTGTCAATATTCCTTTAGATAAGATTGCAGGGAAGACAGAGTAAAAGGGCTCTAGTGGGGGGGGGGAGCTATGGGAGGGTGCCATCTGGGAAGTGGGTATATAGATGAATAAGATTGTTTGGAATGTTCTGTGTGATACACACACACACACACACACACACACACACACACACAATCAACAAATTAAAAAAATGAGTTATATTTGAGGAAGCATAAAAATTTACATCATTGAAATTACCCGATGACTTTATACCCATACACAGGTGCCAAGGATCCAAGTGCAACCGACCATGACTAGTAATAATCAGTTACATACAGATTAGAGACGCATGCGCCAACATCTAAGTGTTATTAGCAAAAACAATGAGTCTTTCTGTAAGAAACAATGTATTTTAAAATGAAATGGAGATCTTTTTTAAAGGTTAAAAACTCATTCAGTTTATGCCTTATAGGGTTTATACTAAGTTCAATATTGTAGAACTGTATTATTTCAACTGTGAACCTGAAAATTTTATAGCCACTTTTGAAAGATATGTATCTTTGCTCTGGAAATTGTTACTGAGTATGTTAATGATGTAGTGAAATGCTTCTAAAAAATAAAAAAAAATATAAAAAACCCAAGTATTCTCAGATAAACCTTGACTAGATATATATTTTGTTCC